TCCGTGCTGTCTCAGAGCCGTGACCGGCCCATGTCTTAGGCGGATGGTGTGTCCCAGTGATGTCCGTGCTGTCTCAGAGCCGTGACCGGCCCATGTCTTAGGCGGATGGTTTGCCCCAGTGATGTCCGTGCTGTCTCGGAGCCGTGACCGGTCCGTGTTTCAGGCTGATGGTGTGCCCCAGTGATGTCCGTGCTGTCTCAGAGCCGTGACCGGTCGGTTGGCCACGCTGTTTCCAGGTTGGTGATGGGCTTCGTGGGCCGCCGCCAGGCTGAGGAGATGCTGCAGCAGCGGCCGCACGGCACCTTCCTGCTGCGCTACTCGGACTCCGAGCTGGGCGGCATCACCATCGCCTGGGGCGCCCACGAGAGCGGAGGTAGGCATCCGCGCGTCGTCATGTACCGAGGCGGTCTAGCGGGGACACGCTGTGACAGAGGGCGCGGCGGTCGCCGGGGTGGGGTGCTCAGATGCGCCGTGCCGGGCCACAGCTCACCTGCCGCCAAATGAGCGGCCCGAGCAGCGCCTTGACGGTATGATGGAGTATAATGTCTCACTGGACCTCTGTATTGGAGCACAAGCCGGTCAAAGGGTTACCCAAACCATTTTTAGTGGTGTGCTGTCGGGGATGCTCTTGTCGAGCTGCTTCTGTATGTTGAAGGTAAGGCTCCGGAATTACGGAAAGGATGTAGTTGACTACCAATAAACAGGTCGGGAATCTGCACGGCCAAAAGCAACAGAGGTTTGCTTCCATCGGAGCAAATTTCGAAAGCTTGTCGGTAGCCGAAGGTCAGAAGGTGTACCTAGAGTTCGAAACACGGAAGGTCTGTTAATGATTTAGAAAAGTAAAACAAATTCTGTTTAGAACAGTCTTAGCGTCCAAGGCTTGTGGCTATTTGTGTGATTGTATGTGTCGCCTGGGCCTTACAAACTACTGAAGCTGTACAGAGGGTGGCTGAAGTGTTCGCTTCGTAAGAGACATCCACCGTCGTAGTAATGATAAGCTCGGAATGGTCGCCGATGTCATGTAATGGGTGCAGCTGAGAGAAGTCCATGCAGCGTTGCCGACAAGCTTGACAGATTATGTTTTGCTCACGTGACGAGCAAAAAGGAACAGAAAATGTTGTCGCCGCCGCTGCCCACCCCGTACCTTGTTTTTTTATATGCGCAACGCCATGGTCGTCCGTTGGGCGTAATATCGGGCCATCAGACGTGTGATCCCGTGCTCTCCGCGTCTGGCCCAACAGAGCAGCAAGTGTACATGCTGCAGCCATTCACCAATAAAGACTTCGCCATCCCGCTCGCTGGCGGGACCGGCTGTCGGACCCTGAAGCATCTCATCTACCTGTACCCGGACCATCATCAAGGACCAGGCCTTCTCCCAAGTACTACACGCCCTCAACAGCAAGCTCCAACCACATCTAGCAACGGCCTACGTCCGGCCGCTGCTTGTCACGCACGTCCCGGGGTCAGTGGCTGTCGGATGTGCCCTCTCCCCCTGTCCTCCCTGTGGTACGCAAGATAGCATTGTGCCCGGTGATCTGCGGCAAACTCAACACCGAGGAAACCAGGCCCGGCAGTAGCATGTGTTGGCGGGCGGGATGCATGCAGTTGTCGAGATTTCGGTAAGGTGACTTGATCTAATCCGGCCTAGAAACAACAGACGTCATCCCAGCGGCATGTAGCTGACGTGTGGTTGACAGTTCATCGCGATGTCCGTATAGGATAGTCTCAGAAGAAACTCGCTGAAGCATGCGTGCGAAATAATCCCGGTGTCTGCATGCTGAATCATGGCGTCGTGGTGAGAGACCGTTGGTGACTGTGGTGGAGCCACGGGCTGTCGCTGGCACTCGCCCCCAGATGGCAGTCACGGCGGTGGTCTGTCTGCGGGCGTCCGCGCCCTGTTTGATGTCCTGGCCTGTGTGTGGTCTGTGTGACCGTGCCGCGCCCGAGGGGCTGTAATAATCAGCCAGGAATGCGGGCCGTGTCGGGCGTTCTGCGCGTGTCAGGCCGACCTGTCGCCCGATGGGTAAGTGAGCCCTGTGTGTTCGCAGCTGGTCCGGCCCCGGCGGCATGGATAGCTACCCGAACACGCCGCAGACGTTCTACTCGCCGACCTCGCCGGACAACACGAACCGTGACACGCCGTCCGTCAACTCGGCCATCTCCGAGTCTGTCAACACGTGAGTCCGCCCCGCCTCGCGCCGCCCCGGCGAAGGCGCGCCGCCGCCCCAAACTAGGAACTCCTGTGTCGCGTCTCGGCCACATAATAGAATAAAGTTAGATCGATCGCTTTAGGCAAAAGCTCGGTCTTTATCGCACGCATGAACGCTGCCCGATGCCATTTGACAGCGGCTCCATGGCGATGCCGTTTTTCAGATCGAAATTTGCTGTCGTCTGGGCCACGGCGACCTGTGTCTGAGAAATTGGTCTCAGTGACATTTGCTACCTCGGATTTTCTTCCGTGGGACGGCGGCGTGCAGGGCGCGGAGACAGCAGCCTTTGCGGTTGTGTTGGCCGTGGAGACCTGTCCCATTAGCTGCATTTTAACAACTCGTCTGAATTCAGTCTGCGCCGGCGAGGCGCGTGGTTATAACTTCGTTGCCGAAAGCTCCTAATTGCTTGTGCAGCCGCCGGTAAGATTGCGTGCAGTTGAGTGGGGCTGCGCCCGACGGGCAGCCGTCTGATCAGCCGTAGTGTCTGATCGAGCGCGCTGAC